GCTCACCCACCCGGCTGCTCCATTTGGGGTGGGGGGCTGAAGGCCACCCCCCAACCACGTGCTGTGAGACCACAGTCCCCACCGTGACCAGCACGGCACCATGTTCTCCCCCCCACCGCGGCGGCAGGCGAGGACGCCGGGGAGGCGCGGGCGCTGTACGAGCGGGTGCGCATCCTGTGCTGGGTGATGACGGGGCCCCGCACCCTGGAGACCAAGGCCCGGCACGTGCGGGCCACCTGGGCACGCCACTGCAACGTGGCCCTCTTCATGAGCTCGGAGGTGGACGAGCGCTTCCCCGCCGTGGGGCTGCCCGTCCAGGAGGGCCGCCACCAGCTCTACTGGAAGACCATCCGCGCCTTCCAGTACGTGCACCGGCACCACCTGGGCCAGGCCGACTGGTTCCTCAAGGCGGACGACGACACCTTCCTGGTGGTGGCCAACCTGCGCTGGCTGCTGGCCGGCCGCTCCCCCGAGCGCCCCATCTACTTCGGCAAGCGCTTCAAGCCCTTCGTCAAGCAGGGCTACATGAGCGGCGGGGCGGGCTACGTGCTCAGCAAGGAGGCCCTGCGGCGCTTGGTGGCCGCCTTCGCCTCCCGCACCTGCACCCACACCAGCGCCGTGGAGGACCTGGCCCTGGGCCAGTGCCTGGAGAAGGTGGGGGTGGAGGCGGGCGACTCGCGGGACACGTGGGGCCGCGAGACCTTCCACCCCTTCCCCCCCGAGTCCCACCTCACTGACAAGTTCTCCCAGAGCTTCTGGTACTGGAGCTACTGCTATTACCCCATCGTGGAGGTACGTGGCGCCTCCCGGGGCTCCCACCCGTCGATGTTCCCCTTTCATCCTGCCCACGTGGGCAGGGGCAGCTGCCAGGGCCCTGAGGTGGCCACAGTCCCCCCATGCATGGCTACGGTCTCCCCAGTCATGGCCGTGGTCCTCCATGCATGGCCGTGATCCCCCCTCGCCCGGCCATGGTGTCACCACAATGCATGGCCACGGTACCGCGTGCATGACCATGGTCCCCCGTGCCTGGCCCTGATCCCACTCGCATGGCAACAGTCCCCCATGCAGGGCTGTGGTCCCCCTGGTTTTGGCTGTGGCATCCGCACGATGCATGGCCACGGTCCCCCGTGCATGGCCATGTTCCCTCCCATGTACCGCCATAGTCCTCCGTGCATGGCCATGGTCCCTCATGCATGGTGGTGATCCCCCTTGCGTGGCCGTGTTGTCCCTGCAACGCATGGCCACGGTCCTCCTTGCGTGGCCGTCATCCCCTTTGCACGGCCATGTTCTCCCCGTGCATGGCCATGGTCCCCCATGTCTCTCTGCAGCATGTGTGTGTGTCCCCCCCCGCATGCTTAAGGTGTCCCCATTCATGGACGCGGTGTCCCCACAATGCATGGCCATGGTGCCCCCCCCCCCCCCGCCCGGCCCCTGTTCCCCCCCGCCCACACACAGTGCCCACTG